TCCTTAGCGCGACCGTCCGCGCAATCGCCGCTACCAACCGCTCCACCTTTAGTGCTGACGCTTGCTGCCACTTGCCTCTCCTTAGGCATTGGGACCACAGGGATCTGCCACATCTCGTTGTAGACATCTCCGTCCTCATGAAGGTCCCAAAGAATCCGATCGCCAAGCCTTGCGGTGTAGGTCTTGGCTCCCTTCGAGTTAGTGTCCATGCCGGCCTTTGCCAACCGCCGCACGGAAATCAGGTTTGCAGCAAGGCTGGGCACCCAAAGCACGTTCTTGAGGCCCACCATCTTCCCATCAGCACCCTTGAACATGGCCTTCCCCATGCCTTTCACCTCTGCCCGCTGCCCCAAAGCCGATGTGACATGCTTCACCGGTGACGGCTCGAGTTCGGTGAGCAAGTCTGGGCGAGGTGTCATGCTATAGGTAGCGCCACTATCAATCACCCAATAGTCCAGGGGGTGTAGGGTCACCTTCCCCACAGCTGCTGGCTCCTCAAAGCCTTCATCCTTCTCTGGACCAGCCGGAACTTGCGTCGACACAAAGTAGAATAGACCCGGGTATCGATCGTCGCTCGGGTCCTTGTCGTTGTCTTCGTTCTTCATGTTTGCAGTTCCGCCACCGCGACCGCCACGGCCTCCACGGCCTCGTCCTCTCCCTCCTCTTGCTCCTCTACCCTCTTGGCCTTGAGCAGGGGTCCAACCATCAGGGAGCTTGTAGCAATCACGCCACATGTGTCCGCTCTTGTGGCAATAGTGACACTCGCCGTCGAATTGGCCGCGACCGCGTCCGTAGCTCTTGTCGTCGCTGCCGTAACCGCCACTCCCGCGGCCTCCGCCGAAGTTGCTGCCACCAAACCTTCCTCCCCCTCGTCCTCTTTCTCTTCCTCCACCATATCCACGGCCGATGCTTGCTGCCCCAGCGCCATCCGCACTCGCCAACTCACGGCGGCGGAAGTCCTCTTGAAGGATAGCTCGCTTCACGTCTTCGAGCGAGAGGCGGGGCAAGTCGCGATTGAGGTTGATGATGAGCAAGGACCATGATTTAGGGAGTAGGGCCAGCAACTTGGTCTTCTTTTGGAGCTCACTATAGTTCAAATCAGTTCCCTCAAGCCGCGTCAACAAGTCGAAGAATTTCTGCACCCCTTCTTCAACCGCTTCATCCTCTTCAATTCGTAACGTCGCCATTTGCCGTTCCAACACCACAGCTACCGCCACTTTTGCAGGAGCGTGTACACCCTTGAGAGCAGCCCATGCTTTTGGTCCCTTCTCTGGTTCACGCTGGAAAGGCTTGATGTGACGGATTTGGCTACTCCCCAACGCTTGCCCAAGTAGGAGGTAGCCTTGTGCGCTCTTCCGCACCCACGGACTCTTCTCCGGGTCGTTCTCGGGACGCTTCTCCGTTCCTTCCATCACCTCCAGCAAGTCATAGTGGTCAAATATGTTCTCCATTCTGAAGGACCACTCAGCAAAGTTGTCACCATTGAACTTGTCAAGGCCAAACACTCTAGGCTCATCCCTAGATGGGCCAACACTTGGTTGCACGGGCGCCATGGCTGAGTCACGGGGTTGGCCTTGAGCTTGGGCTTCTCCTCTACCACCAGCACCTCTGCCACCCCTTTCCTCATGTCCAGCCATTGTCGAAACTGCTCCAAGGGGCTCTGATACCACTTGTTATAGTCACAGTAGGCTCCAATGTGCCTAAAACGAAAGAAGAGTGCACAGTCGGATTTCTGCACAGCGGCTTCAAACGTTCATATCGTTCTGGTCACTGCTTCAAATGACTTGATTCAACTTGAATCTTGAGCGTCATATTGTCGCCTACAATAGGCAATTTAGATAGCACAATTTGACCAAGTATTAATGACACAGCACTGGTTTGAACGAACGGCGCTATGGTAGCCACTATAGTCTTAGAACACAAGATAGGAAGAGTTAGGAAGAGTTACGAGTTGGGAATGACTCCCAGCTCCTACAAACCCCAAGAGCCGAGGTACAGTGATGTGGAACAGTGCCACACTGTCCCCAACCACAAAGGGTCTCGAAACTACCCTTCACTAGGGCCTACACCAAGTGAGATGTTACACTACACAAAGTAATGTAACTATCTTCAATATCTTGAGGTGCACCCTTTTGGCGAGCTTCGAAATCACTCGAGGCCTGACACAAAGGCTCGAGCTCTTCATCACAAACTCATCCTTGGGTTCTTGATGGGTCTTCTGCACACACCTGCGACATGCCGAACGTTCGACACAGGACAAAATAGAAACCGCGCGCGAGACACAAACGACCGCGTAACACGCGTCTAGCGATATCTCGCTATTGACTCGACACACACACTCGACATCATGACTCAACATTCACACACAATTATAAGCATGAAATATATATTATCCCATGCCCTCATACCATTCCATACACACACACATGCACGCACACGGACAACAAGCCGAGTGCAAACCGGAGGGTTGCACCAACAAAGAGAGTGAAGCTCGTAGTGACACCGGGCGGCGACGTGCTGCAGAACCAAAAGAGTTGTCATCTTTGGGGTTAGGGAGAAGGTCTGGAAGAAGTCAACTCCCTGTCGCTGAGTGAAGCCTCGAGCAACGTAATGCGCCTTGAAGACAGGCGGAGAACCCGACGGCCGCTTCACCCGGAAAATCCACATGCCACTAACGATGTTCGCCCCAGGAGGGGGAACCTAGTCGACGTAAGTGCGTGTGGACTTCCAGGATGCCATCTCTGCGTCCATGGCTGACTGCCACTGAGAGGAGTACAGACCTTCTATCGCCTCTACGTAAGAGCGCGGTTTCGGGATGTCTAGTGCATCTGGGTCACCCTTAGGTGCAATCAGCATGGACACGAGATGAAGTACAGCAGCTGCAAAGCACTCAAACTCCTCCTGCCTATCCTTAAGGACGTCTGTGCCAAGAGCACGCTCACCCCCGAAGGACGGAGAAAAGAGAGACTCAGACTCAGCAACAAGGCTAGCAGCGTAGTCTAGACGACAGCGAGCAGCAAAGTCGTCCAGCTCAGCAACTAAGGTAGACGCAGCGGTGGACTCAAAAGAAGGGTCAGTGACAACAACGGCCAGGAGACGCGTGACAGTAGGACTAGCTGCACGAAGGGAGTCAGACTCCGGGTCTGGACCGTCAGCAAGGGAGGACATAGGAGAAGACGGCAGAGGGACGCGCAGTGGAATAGAGGAAGGACGAAATACCATCTAGTGCGTGCCGGGGATAGGAGGAGGACACAGACGTGGAACACGACGAGTAGTGCGAGCAGCGCAAACAGGCAACGCAAGACGAGACGCAGGCTCACGACGCTTAGCAAGGCCTCTGATCGGCCCAGTGTAAGGAGAAGGACTAGGCAGTGGGGAGGCTGGCTGTAACTGCGACTACGACTTGTTTGGCGGTGGACACTGTAAGGGAGGAGTAGGACCAGTAGAAGGCGGGAGACCAAGAACCTGCTGAAGGAGTGGAACGAAGTACGCCCGCGGCCGTGAAGCACCACTAGAACCAGCAGAGACAGCTTCAGCACCCCCAGCTCCAAGGTGTCTAGCTCCATCTCTTGAAGCACCACTAGCTCCAGCACCAGTAACACCACCAGCAAAAATAGCTCCAGCGCCTCCAGCTCCAACTCTTGCAACACCACCAGCTGCAGCACCAGCAGCACCACCAGTAGGACCAGCTCCAGCGCCTCCAGCTCCAGCTCCAGCGGTACCTCCATCAGCTCCCGCTCTAGCAGAACCAGCACCCCAGTAGCTCCAGTACCCCCAGTACGAGCACCTCAGGAACTAGTGGCTCTAGCACCTCCAGTAGCTCCAGCTCTAGTAGTACCACGCTAGAGGCTCCAGCACCAAGCAAACCACTCGCACAGCTGCAGTGGAGAGAGAGACTCCGGCCGCGACAAGACACCCGAAGGGCCTCCACGCTCAGCTCACTCGGGCTCAGCACCCCCAGGCTCAGCACCTCCAGGCTCCGCACCCGCAGGCTCAGCACCCCTAGGCTTTGCACTCTCTGACTCAGCACCCCCAAGCTCCGCACCCGCAGGCTCAGCATCCCCAGGCTCCGCACCCTCAGACTCAGCACCCCCAAGCTCAGCACCTCCAGGCTCCGCAAGTTCAGGCTCAGCACCCCCAGGCCCCGCACGCGTAGGCTCAGCACCCCCAGACGCACCACCTCTAGCAGCACCAAAGTCGACAGCTACCTTGACAGGCTCGACTGGGTCTACCTGGGACACACCTGAGGGAGCAGGACCCTAAGGGGGGAGGGGGTCTACCGGAGGAGAACCTGGTGCAAGGAAGAGCGGCGGCGGGGGGGAGAGAGGCAGTGCGGTAGGGGAAGAGACGGTAAAAGGGAACCGACTTGTCAAACGTGACATTCTGAGAGGGCATGACATGGCACTAGGTGGGGTGGTAAAACTGCCAGCTAGGCGCGTCTGGGACAAAGCCAAGGAAGAAGCAGGGAATAGTACGGGCGGAGAGCTTGTCCGCAGTGGTATCGCGGACAAAGGCACGAGAACCCTTGACCCGGAACATTGATGCATCGCCAACCTTCCTCGTCCACCGCAGTGTGGGCGAGGTCTCCGGCAAGGAGACATGCGACTAGAGGTTGAGCTGATGCGCAGCATAGCGGACTTTAAAGTGCCACAGAATGTGGGGGGCAGCCGCATGGACCATGGAGTGTCACGATAGCGTCTTAACTAGCGAACGGGTTTAACTAGTAGGCCTAGGCTTAGTAGCCTAGGCCAGGCGGGAGTCAAGAGGGTTGTGCCAAGGAGAATATTGAGAATGATTAGCTTGAGTATAGGTTTGCAAGAACATATAGCAAAGAAACAAAGTGCACCACCAAACAAGGAATGAAAGAACTACACTACAATAACTACAGCAAGCGCGATAGATATTAAATATAACTTTAACACACCCCCTTAGCCTGCTTGCTGTAATAACTGGTGCAGTCAACACCCCCTGAAGGGGTACACCTGGCGCAGTAGAAGACGTTAGAGGAAGTGAGGAGGAGGAGGCGAGAGAGAGAGAGAGGAGAGGAAAGGAGAGAAGTACGAACTAGGAGGTGAGAGAGGGATGAGGCGAGGAGTTGAGGGGGAGCCACCCATGGCGAAACCCTCGTAGTAACCCCCTTTTACAAAGGAGGGAGGTGAGAGAGTGACGAGGAGTGGAGGTCGTGGGGAGCCAAGCGCGGCGAAACCCCTCTTAATAACCCCCAAATCCCCACACCCACTCAACCACCCCCCCTTAACTTCACCCCCCATAACAGCCGCCCCCTGGGACCGCAACCCCTTCCCCCCTTTCTTCCTCCACACCCCTGTCAAAATCCCAACCACTAGACCATTGGGATAAAAGGGCTTGTTTCAGTAGCGGGTCAGTGCGCCCATAACCCCCCAGGCGAACGCGCTTGTAACCCTCTCCAGGATTAATCGGGCATCCACAGTGCAGATCTACTGACACCCCCCCACACTGGGAGGTCCAGGACTAAGCACAGTGGCAGCGGCCTACATCTGCTACACCGAGAATCGAACTCAAGACCGCTCTGATACCATGTCAGAATCCCAACCACTAGACCATTGGGATAAAAGGGCTTGTTTCAGTAGCGGGTCAGTGCGCCCATAACCCCCCAGGCAAACGCACCTGTAACCCTCTCCAGGATCAATCGGGCATCCACAGTGCAGATCTACTGACAACCCCTGCCCCACCCACGGCAGTCCTTGCAGAATCCTTACTACCACCCCCTCAGTCCCCCCCCCTCCCCCCTTACGGTAGAAGTGGGAGGGAGCGAGAGGAAGAAGAGGCGGCAGTTCTGCTTCATCTCACGGCGACACTTGCGGGGGTCTCTGCTGGCGGTGGCGCTGCTGGCGGGGTCTCTGCCGGCGGTGTCGCTGCTGGCGGGGTCTCTGCCGGCGGGGTCTTTCTGCTGGCGGTGTAGCTGCTGGCGGGGTCTCTCTACTGGCAGTGGTGTTGCTGGCGGGGTCTCTCTGCTGGCGGTGGTGCTGCTGGCGGGGTGTCTGCCGGCAGTGTTGCTGCCAGCAGGGTCTCTCTGCTGGCGGTGTAGCTGTTGGCGGGGTCTCTCTGCCAGCGGTGGTGCTGCTGGCGGGGTCTCTCTGCTGGTGGTGGTGCTGCTGGCGGTGGTGTTGCTGGCGGGGTCTCTCTGCTGGCGGTGGTGCTGCTGACGGTCCCGCCAAGCCCTTCCCCCGTCCCTCTCATCCCCCCCTGCCACTGTAGCTGCACACGAGAATAGCCGCGATAGGGGGTGACGTGAAGGGGCCACGACGGGGAAAGGGGAGGCGACGGGGACAGCGGCAAGGACTGCAGGTGCGCTGGTGGTCAATGGAGGTGTTCCGCCGCCACTCCCGTCCCCATTTCCCTCTCCCCCCCGCAGAGTTCCGCGGCCACTCCCGTCCCCTCCTCCCTCTCCCCCCCACAGCGACCGCCGCTGCACACGCGAACAGTCGCGACTAGGGGGGGGGGGGGGGTGACGGGCAGGGGGCGGGGGGATTGCGACAGGCAGAGCGACGGCGGGCGAAGGAGCGGCTAGGGCTGCTGGTGATTTTGTCGCGATTCGCGCTGATTGGCGCAAATGTCACGGCTGGCGCTGCCGGTGGCGACGATGCAAGGCCACAACGGCCAGCATGCAGTTCGTGGCAACCTTCGCAACCCGAATGTTGCATTTTCGCCAGCGAGGGTACGACGAGGCAAGCGTGGCGCGACGGGCCAGCAAGGCGCTCGCCATGTGCAGGATGCAACGGGCGGGTCTACGGACAGCAACGGGCGGGAATGGTGGGCCCATTAGCGTAGGTCTAGGACCTTGATAGCTCAATACCATGTCACGATAGCGTCTTAACTAGCGAACGGGTTTAACTAGAAGGCCTAGGCTTAGTAGCCTAGGCCAAGCGGGAGTAGAGAGAGTTGTGCCAAGGAGAATATCGAGAATGATTAGCTTCAGTATAGGTTTGCAAGAACATATAGCAAAGAAACAAAGAAGGTGCACCACCAAACAAGGAATGAAAGAACTACACTACAATAACTACAGCAAGCAGGATAGATATTAAATATAACTTTAACATTGAGGTATGAGCGACCTCCATGACCAAGCCAATGCGGCGCTCAGCAACCCCATTCTGCTGCAGAGAGGCCGGAAGCGTGATTGTCTGGCGAATGCCCTCCCCACGACAAAAGCTCTGCAGAAGGTCGCAGGAAAACTCCCCACATATGTCACAGTGCAGACGCACGACGGGACAATCCGTCCCGAACCGCTCGCGGAGCTGGAGACGGGCAGCGTGCATTCAAAGGATCAAAACATCAAGGACCTCACCTTTGGTGCGCAAGGGGAAGACCGTGGTGTAACGCGAGTAGTCGTCAACAACCAGCAGGAAGTCCACAAACGTGGGCTCGGCCCCACACGTTCATGTGCAGGGTCTGCAGGGGAGCAGTTGTCGGGGGGAACGAGGAGTGAGGAGCAGCGCACTACCGCCCCCTGACACAAGGAAGGCAGGGAGGGGCAGGGGAGGGTGGGAGAGGAGGGAGAACCCTTGGAAGACCAGAGACCAGGACACGTCGGTGCATGCCACGCAGGCGCTGCATTGAGGGGTGACCAAGACGGTGGTGCAAAAGGACACTCTGGTGCGACAGAGCGCGATACGAGTAGGGAGCCGCTAGCGGACCTGACGCAGACACAGATGCAGCTACCTGAGGGGACACAGTAGTAAGTGTGTACAGACACGAGCCAGGCACACGGGTAAACGTGGCAAGGTGCCGGCCGGTCCGGGAGCACGTACAGTGGGTCACACGCTGACCTCCAGGTGTGAACTGGTCAATCCACTGGTCCTGGAGGTCAGCTCCACTCACCAAGTTTGTAGAGAACAAGGGGAGGTGAAGACCTGATAGTGAGCTAGACGGGACGGCCGGACACGGCAGGACCGTGGAAGAGTGCGCAAGGACTGGGGCCCAGAGAGGTCTGCCAGGGAGACTGCAACCGGCCAACTGAGCAGCGTGAGTGTGGTGCAATCGCGAAAGAAGGAGCGGGAAGCACCTGAGTAAAGAGTGAAGGTGTGGAAGGCCTCAGCAGGCGCAGTACAAGAGAGCCGACTCACCAGCACCCGGAGCAGTAGACTCACCAGCACCTAGAGCAACTGCCTCACCATCACCTAGAGCAGGAGACGCACTAGCACCTTGAGCAGCAGACTCTATACCTGGGCTAGGCGGTACACACAGATAACAAGCACCCTCAGCACTAGTAGGCAATGCATATTTGGCAGTGAGGATAGCATCATAGTCAAGAGCAAAGATATATACCCGCTGCCTAAGCAGCTCCAGCCAGGTGGGGAGCTCAGCCTCGTCGCCAAACTCGGTATGCCAGGCGTCGCTCAGACTGGCGAAGCAGCAGGACTGTGTGTGACCAACTGTCCCGCAAGTCTTACCAGCCCGATCACCTGTGCGAATGAGGTAGGGGCAGCGAACGGTACTCAGAGACCCTCTACTCTGGGCGTACAACTCACGAAGCTGCTGAGGCGTAAGGGTCTTGCGCGAACGCCGCTGGAGCTGCATCTGGCCGCTGCTAGAAGCTCCCGAATGACCATCTCCAGGGCGAGTGCCACGACGGACGCAGCCACAACCCCAACTAGCGTACCACTCACAAAGCTGCTGGGGCGTGACGGTCTCATGCGGACATCGGTGGAGCTGCATCTGGCCACCGTCAGTAGTAGTAGTAGCAGCAATAGCAGCAGTAGCAGTAGTAGTAGCAGTAGTAGCTGTAGTAGATCCTAGGGCAGCAGCACCTAGGGCTGCACGTGCGGCTCGCGGGCTGCAGGGGCAGGGCGCTGGCTGCAAGAGGAAGGCGCGCTGGCTGCAAGGGCGGTTTGCGGGCTGCAGGGGAGGCTCGTAGGCTGCAGACGGGTGGCGCATGGGCTGCAAAGGTCTGCGCGCAGGCGGCTTGCACAGGGCGGCGCCCGTGCACTAGGGCGACGCGATGGGCAGGGCAAGGCGGCGCGGTGGCCCTAGGGTGACGCGCGGGCAGGGCAGGGGTGACGCGCGGGCCTTAGGGCGACGCGACGGGCAGGGCAGAGGCGGCGCGCGGGCCCTAGGGCGATGCGACGGGCAGGGCAGGGGCGGTGCGTGTGCCCTAGGGTGACGCAATGGGCAGGGCAGGGGCGATGCGCTTACCAGGAGCGGGTGCAAGGCAGGGCCTTGACGAGGGGTTAGGTAGAGCAGGGCCGCGACGGGGCGGTAGCAGGGCACGGCCGCGACGGGTGGCGGCAGGGCAGGGCCGCGAAGAGCGGCTAGGTCAGGGCCGCGACGGGTGGCGGCAGGGCAGGGCCGCGAAGAGCGGCTAGGTCAGGGCCGCGACGGGCCGTTAGGGCAGGGCCGCGACGGGCCGGTAGGGCAGGGCCGCTACGGGCGGCAGTAGAGCAGGGCGCGCAACGGCGTAGGGGAGGTAGGCTCGAGGCGCGCTTCGAGCAGGGGAGGAAAAAAAACACGATCATACTAGGGAAAAAAACGTTCATACTAGGGAACCTACTCTAATACGATGTGAAATATAGAACGAGGAATGGATCCACTAGAAGCAGGATGGGTACAATAAGCTAACCCTAATTTGGGTTGTACCCCACATGGGCTACCCCACTACAGCCTACACAACAAGCAACACGTAGTTTGACAAGTCAATCGTCGGTCCATATGGTCAACAATTGCGACAGTTGACTAATCGACCGTTGACCTTCCTGCCCTTGGTATGGGCTGATCCGATACTGCTGCTAGCGTTGGTTCGATAGTAGCGGGTGCGATATTGCTGCACCTACAAAAACGCTCAAGTGTAATTCCCTTCATACTCCAACATTTACTACATTACTTGTTGTAAAAAACAAACATGCATGGAACGCCGATGAAGCGCTAGTATGTTGGGCTGAAAAAGGCCCTTAGGATCATTTTCAAGACTAAAGCCTCAGATAGTGATGTATTCGCGGAAGCTGTTAAGAAATGAGGAATGAATGAACTAGCACAAAGTTGGGTACAAGTAGGAAACCCTAGGAAATTGTACCCCATAGTGTCTACCCCACTATAGCCTACACAAGCTATATAATATGAGTTTGACACACCCCCATAGGCAAAGTGGGGGAGAACAAGAGGTCACAAGACCAATCAAGCAAAGCAAAGCAAGCTCAGGGTGGATCACAACGTCACCACACAGTCCGAACACAAGAGCAAGGCCAGAAGGCAAGTTCACACGCAAGATCATATAAAAAGGTAAACAAGCAAGTGCAGGTATAGAAAGATCACAGTACAAGCAAGGTCAAGAAGTGAGCAAGTGAGGCCAAGTAGGCACAAGACCTAGCATCGTACGGAAGCGCTGATGATCACAAGGCGGAAGTGCCTTGGTAAAGATATCAGCAGTGTTGGCCTCAGAGGCCACGTAAGCAAGGCGCAGCTGACCACGCTGCTGCAGCTCACGAGCAAGAAAGTAGCAAAGAGCAATGTGCTTCGTTCTGTGCTACAGTCTGTGCTCCCGACACAGGGCCAGCATGGCCTTGTTGTCTACGTACAGAACTGGAGGAGAACGAGGCAGCTCTCCTAGGTCAGTCAGCAAGTAGGTGAGCCAGCGTGACTCCTGTGCAGCCATGGCCCCGGCGTAGATCTCGGCCTCACAGCTCGAGCCGAGAACAGAAGACGAGCGGGTAGACCGCCACGAAACAGAGCCGGAACCAAGGCTGAAGGTGTAGCCCTGTGATGACCGCTGTGTAGCCTAGTCGTCAGCCCAAGAAGCGTCTGTGTGACCTGTGAGGACCACTCGGCGTCGCCCTCCAAGCACTAGCCCCATGCCCAACGTACTGCACAAGTAGTGCAACACCCTCTTCGCTGTAGCCATGTGCTCTGGTCGGTGTCTCCCAGGAGCAACATAGCGTGCCAATATACTAAGAGGGTGTGCAAGGTCTGGTCATGTGCAAGTCATCAGGTACACGAGGCAGCCAACAAGCTCTGGGTACGGGCCACTCGGCTCTACAGACTCATCCGAAGGCAGAGCTGAGAGCGAGTGGCGAGTGGACAGAGGAGTGGCCTGAGGCGAGGAGTACGTGAAGCCAAAGCGCTGAAGGACCTGCTGCACCATGTGTGACTGAGTCAGGGTAATGGTGCGCTGTGCTCTGTCCCGGGTGATTTGCAAGCCAAGGTAGCTGCGCAGTTCACCCAGGTCTGTGCACGTGTGTCTCTTCTGCAGCTCGGACTTCACGTGGGCGAATCCAGAAGTGTCAGCTGTAGCAAAGACCAAGTCGTCGACGTACACGAGGATGTAGAATAACGGAAAAGAGGTGTCGGTGCGTAGAAACAGCGATGGGTCAGCAGTAGAAGGAGCAAACCCAAGAGCTGCAAGTGTAGTCCTCAGTGTGTCGTGCCACTCACGGGGCGCCTGGCGGAGACCATAGACTGGCCGCCGGAGGCTCCACTGGGTACCGGGAGGAAACGACCCAGTGAAGCCAGGTGGGTGGCGCAGCCACATCTCCTCATGCAGACTGCCCTGCAAGAAAGCCGTGTTGAAGTCAAGAGAGTGAAGCTCGTAGTCGCGCTGAGCGGCTATGTGCAGCAGCACCCAAAGAGTGGTTATCTTTAGGGTGGGAGAGAAGGTCTGAAAGTAGTCAACTCCCTACCACTGACTGAAGCCTCGAGCCACGTAACGCGCCTTGAAGACAGGCGGAGAACCCGGCGGCCGTTTCACCCTGAAAATCCACATGCCACTGACGATGT